CCTCTCTCTCTTCCTTCACCTCCACCTTAGCTGTTTGGAGGTGAACACAAAGCCCCACGAGCAGGTGTAGCTTTGAACCTCCTGCCCTGGTGGTGCAGCAGCAATCTGGGGCAGCCCCACGCTGCGGAAGAGTGCTGCTCTTGCCTTCAACCGAGCAAACCTGGCCATTGCTTCTTGTCTGATTGCTGCCCTCGCTGCAGCATCCCGCTGCCAGCATCCCACACCAGGGGTATATTGGTGCTGCTGCACGGAGTGCAGAGCAAATGTGCTTAATTTAGCCCAGGTCTTAATCCCGGTGACTTCGTTCGAGCAGAGAAGGGCTGGGGAGCACGGCTCTAGGGTGTCAATAAGGCAGTACAATATCTCTGCACAACGTGAAGCCAGCTATTTAATTACCTATCACTACTAACAAAAGCTCTCTTTATTTTTATTAACTTTGGGAGAACGAGGTTCCCCATCACCAGAGTATGTTTAAATAATTACTGTGCAGACTAACACGCCTGCAAACACAAAAAGAGAGGGAGCAGAGAGAGGGGAAAGAAAGAGAAGACATAAACTCAGCCTCGCTTCCCAATTTAAACTACGAATGACCCCGGGGTCAATTTTTCAGAGTATCTCAGATCAATTCAATTCTCACCTCCGCTGCCTACCTGCTAGCAAATGAACTTACTGTGCGTTCCAATAGGCAGAAACGACTAAAAGGAAATCGCATTTAGCTGCATCTGAATAACCATGGTTATTAGGCATGCAGAGGAAAAAATACCATTCCCCTTCTCCTTCTCCTCCTCTGGTTGTCATTCTCACCTCACTGGTGATTAAGATGTAGGATGCTCTTGCAGATTGTTAATTAGGTATTAATATCTGCAAGGGGCCACAGCAAGCTCCTACACCTGAGGTCATTTCTCAGAAGTCAGGCTGTCTCCAGTGACAGTACCTGCAATTCCCAGAGCTAGTTTGATACCCACTCAACAGCTGGAGCCAGTGCTTCTTTCATGTCTGGTTTCATTTCCTATCTGAAATTATATGAGTGCTAATATCTTTATTATCTGTCCTGTAGGAGTGCAGAGCTCGAGCACGGCACAGCGTGTCGTTCAGAGCCTTTCTTATTTATTTATCTTTTTCTTTCCCCCTTATGCTGTTTTTTTCGAATATTTTCAGCAAAAGTCTCTGCGGTTGGCAAATTTACAGCTGAAGACTCCATTACAGATTGGAGGGGGGGGGGGATAGAAAGTAGGAGGGAAAGTAATAATCTGGGGACAAAAGAAAAGAAAAGCTGCACCACTGCTGAATAATAATGGCTTGAACCTTGGGAAATAAATGAGGAGTTACAAGGGCAACGTGACCTCTGGACATTGTGCAGGTGCACAGATCTTTAAGGAGCAAGCAGTGAGGATGCATACTTGGTGTTTGAGGAGAGAGGTACACCACTGAACCACCATTTGCTCCTGTTTTGCCTCAACCAAACTCCATATCAGGGTAAAACCTAAGCTACATTCCATTCAGCAAAACACCTGCCTCGTGCAGAGGTTTCTCACCCCAGTGCCAACCCAAAACCCTACAGACTTGTAAATTCAGCCCTTGGATGAGAGCAGAGTGGGCAACACAGAAGGCCTCCACCTTCTGTGGAGCTCCACCAGAGCTACTTGTTGGCCCCATTCATTATCCAGGTTTATAACTGTGTAAACTGAGACATAAAGAGATCAACAGCAAGAGACCTTTAGAAGACACCTCAGATAACAAGTTTACAGTGCTGCTGGATTTTGCTGAATCTAGAATCAAAGAACTGGGTCAAAGTCTCACGGGTGAGTCAGGCTGCAGCTCCCAGCTCCTTCTTTCTGCTCTCTCTAACCATCAGGACTATATGTGGAAGCCTGAGAAGTCATTTTACACATGGGACTCTACATCGGTACTTTTCCTGTCTCGTCCATCTCCTGTATTTTGGTACAGCGTGAGTCATTTTGTAAGCAGCACAAATTAAGAAATCCAAAAGAAATGTTTTAAATATATATACATGTATGTATGTAAGCAATTAGAATTATTAGAATTAAACAAAAGCAAAAGCCATATTTATGGAAAGAAATGGTTTGTTTTTTTTTTACTTATGTAAAGTGACTGTAAATTGTACAAAATACATTGTAAAGAGAGAAAGAAGGGAGATAGGTAACTATTCATTTCTGAGCAAGAATAACAGCTTGCATCCCATCTGAAAGAAAGGATTCTCATTTAGACTTAATATAGCACATCTGCTTGAAAAATACATACAAGGCTCCCATTGACTGCCATGGGAAACTTGCCAATAATATTTCGTGGAATTTATCTAGATATCAGCTTTGAAAAATACAGACGTCTTAAAGGGAGGGCTAATTCAAAAATGGGAAGTTAAAAATCATTCATTCATACCCAAAGAAATTGGGCTGTTTATACAGTTCTTAGCTTTCATTTGCAATTTTATCAGATATATGGCCTTAGAATAAAACTTAGCTGAGGAGGCCTCGCTGCAGGGAAGTCAGGCAGTTTGACATCGCAGGCCATGAAAGGAACACAAATAACAGTCAGATCTGCTTCTACGTCAACAATACATTCAAAAAGCCATGAGAGTGAAGAAGGCTTTCACAAAACACAAATCTATTTTAAAAATGCGTGTGCAAACACAGGAATAGCACGGAAATGCAAGTAAATGTACACGTTAGGATTGCCATGATTTCCCTGGTGGGAAAGGTCTTAGAGGTAAACTGGAAAAGGAATAGCAAATGTATTTCTCCTTTTTACTGCTCCTTACTTTCTCCTTAGTTTTAAGGCTTGTCCAGATAAGGAATTATGTGGTAAGATACAACGCAGTGCTACCTATTCCCAGGGCAACACTCCTGCTCCAAAGTGAAAGTGGATTTTCCTGCTTAGTTTATTCTGAAAGCAGCTTAAGCTACACTGCAGGGGAAGGGGGAGAGAGGGAGAATCCATTCTTAATCCCAAATTGGAACGTCCATCCAGGGAATTCATGGCACCACTACCGCTAGATGAATTCAGATCTTGCTTTTTATTAGCACGATTCCCCCCACAGATATTCATGTGGTGGAAATCTGGGCCCTGTGAATTCCGTGGGGTTTCACCAAAGCGGTGGTGAGGCCAGGAGCCCACTCAGGGCCTGTCCTCCCAGCTGGGATGGAGACACGGAGCAGTTCAGATCCCTTCCCTTAGAGCACGGCCAATGCCCTTCAGAGTCCATAGCTTTGTCATGAGTTTGAAACATTAGAAGTTACGCACAGTGATGAAAACCAGCAATCTTGGAAATCCTGCACAGGACTTCCCTTTGAAAGGAAAATTTGCCTTGTGAAATACTGCTCAGCAATCCCATGGGCAGGATGCTGCTGCCATAGACCCCAGAGGGACACCCAGGTGACAGTGTCTTAACCCTCCAGTCCATTTGTTAAAGGAACTGCCTTGAAATACTAAAAGCAAGCCAGAAGTAACATAATTCCTTAAAGGAGTCAAGTTAGTAGGTTAGACCACAGAGACCACTGTCCACTACTGGAGATTTACAGCCTGAAATCCCCTTACCCAAAGCACCTGCATGAATACCGAGTGAGAGCAGCTCCGGAGCGCACGGAGGTCTGAAGTCCTCATCTCTGAACTTATTATTCCTAATATCACAGAGACATTTCCCTGAATTGTCCTTCTCCTTTCCAAATTCCCCATCTGACCAGATGTCTCTCTCTTTCTTGCTTTCACCTGTCAATCACGCTTGCAGCTGAAATTTGATTTCTCTCCCAACAGTAACCTTAGATGAAATATTACCATAGGGGTCAGAACTGCCTGAACCTCGCCATAAAAGTTCGTTAACTCTTCCGAGACCCAACAGCAATTCGCTTAAAAGGAAGGGATTTTGCTGCTGTGTTTTCCTATTGTAAGTGACAGTGTCACCACAATGAATTGGAAGAAAGGAGTGAGGAATTGTCCCAGAGAGCAGCAAGTTAAGTCCTGAGACCACAGCAGAGAAAGAGCCTTTGCCTTTTTTTTTTTTTTTTAGTATATGGACAACAAGCATTTGTATTGCTGATATGATTTACAGAACTTGTATATAAATTAGAGGAGCCAGGAGAGCTTTCCTCACAAATTATCAGACCTGCAGCCCTTAGCCTAGAAAGAAGGTAAGAGAGCAGGAGCTGCACCCTCACAACGAAATACCTCCTTGGAAACCCACTCATGAAGAACCCCAAAGAGCCCCTCTGCAGTGCACTGCATACCTCTTCCCCATTTTTTTGTAATTAATTTCATGAGCTAATCAAATATTGCTTTATAACAGCATGCTGTGTTTGACCAAAGTGTGGCAGGCCGTGCTCCTAACTAGAACAGGAGGTTTTATAACAAAACACACGCCAGAGCCTGTGTCATTGCAGCCCTGCAGCTCATTGAAGCCACTTAGTATTTTTTACAGTTGAGGTCAATAAAAATCAGATTCTATAGGAAAAAAAAAAGGAAAAAAAAAAAAGCATGCTATTTGAACCTAGCAGGGGAAGGAGCTGAACGCTTAATCCCTGCATTTTCCTGACAGTGTGTTCTGTAGTCAATGAGAGTTTGAATGAAAACAAGTTCCACGAGAAAAAGCAGTGCTGATTTAGACCCTATTGTGAACCAGGAGCACAGATGCTGCCTAACACACACAGCCTCATGACTTCCACCCAGAGATGAGGGACATCTTCAGGAGACCTATCCTTAATCCCTGCAGCTGATGCCTGATGAGGGACATCTTCAGGAGACCTATCCTTAATCCCTGCAGCTGATGCCTGAACGCCAGCATTTGAAGGGAAAGAAAGAAAACATTTGCAGAGGATTATAGATGAGCGATGGGACATGGGACAGCTGACAGAAGGGCAAAGCCCAGCACTGCGGGTGCTCTGTGCACCTGAAGCCAGCTTCACCCCACAGAGCACGTCCCCGCTGGGCAATGGGAAGCCCAGCACCCTCCCCAGATAGGTAAAGTGCAAAGGAAAGTGGGAACATACCTTTTGTTCTGACCTCAGGTAACAGGGATTTTCACATCACCGTTGTAGAAGATTCTCTCGGGTACCTAATTTAGTAAATACATTAAAATATGCTGTTATTAAAAGGAATTCTTAGCATTGTAAAACATGTCTGTTGTGCCACTACTGTACAAATAGGGCCTCTTATATTCAAATCCTGTATTTAACTCAGACAGTTGCTTGCGCTGCTCGTTAGCTGTAAGAAGAAGAAAATTAGCACAGCTTAAAGTGAAACGCTCCTCGCACATCTGGCCTCTCCTTTGCATGAATAGCAGGAGAATCTCACCAAGAAGTTACCTTAAAAACATCTCTTTGCCTCACCGGTGAGCAGTACCTCCTATGACCTGAAAGCACGCCGCTTTCGGCATCGTTCTCTTCATGGTTATTATCAGCTGTGCTAATGTCATTGGCAAAATAAGAATCCGTTTGTGTACACATTCCCTTATTTCCCAGACAAGTCGTTCAGTAACAAAAGCAGAGCTGTCACTGCTCCCGCAGTTGCTCACGCTGTACCAATTCCTACTGTCAACATATATTTAAAATCCAATTTAAATAAAGAAAAAACAATTCAACACACACGGAGCAAATCTCTGTATGCTAAATGAGGTCAGGCAGCGAGCCGATCTGCCTTTCCTAAATACGGGAATTCTGCTGTGTCCCTTTGGTTAACTTGCTCTCCCTGCTCCTACACACACACGCACATCCATTTCCCATAGACAGCTCCAGCTCCATCCTGGTGGTGTCACAGCACCCGGCAGAGGGGACCGCCTGCTCCCCCAGGGGCATCGATCCATTAGCAGCTCCACTGAACTATCAGCTTATTAATAAGGAAAGAGTCTCAGAAAGCGAGACAGTGCTACAGCAGCCAGAGACACGGAGCAGATCAGTTAATTCCAAAGGGCTGATAACTGCCCTTTATTTCATCTGGCTGAGCTGGGGTGAGAGCTATGCTGGAATACGTTTTCTGCTCCACGCGGTGTTGTTTTAAAAGGATTTCACAATGAAGAGAGCTGAAAGACTGCGTGCAGTCTGGAGACTGTATCTGGTGTGACATGAATATAGTTTTTGAAACAGATTTAATCTTACGATATTCCCTCCTCTACAATGACTTTGCAGGAGGAAACCCTATGGAAAGGAAAATCTGTTCATCCCACTCTGCAAACACTGAGTCGCGCTGCAGACGGCACATCTCTTCCTACATATCAAATGGCTTTCATCAGTGATTCTGGAAATACTTATGTTTTAGGGGAGGAAGAGAGGGAGGGAGAAAAAAAAAAAAAAGGAGAAAAAAAATGTAAAGAGCTACGTCTTATTTGGTTCACTCTGGGGCTCGTTTTCGTAGTCTCTAATGTCTCAGTGCAACAGCCCCAAGTGGCTGGGAGAGCTAAGACTAATTCCTTCCCCATCCCTGTCGGTTCCCAAGGTTTTGGCAACGCATTTTTGTTTTAAAATTGGAGAAGTGGGGTTCAGGGTGCAGGAAAGGGAATGTGCTTGCTTGCTGTTAGAGAGGGCTTTAAACTTAATCGCATACACACTCTGTCATATATCCACATAGATTTGGGAAACTTGGCCTTGGAAAGCTCTGTTCTCTGCCGTACTTCAGATTCCTTAAAAGCCATGAAATGTAAATCCTGCCCCCCCACCCTCCTCAGTCCCTGCAGGGATCTCAGGGCCTGATCCAAAATGCCATTAAAAAGATTCCCTTTAATTTCTGGGGGGTTTAGATTGGACTCTGTGTGAGCACAGGTGAAAAAGAGAAGGGGGAAAACAACACCGGGGGGGGGGGGGGAGAATTGAGAAAATGAAAGGAAAGAAGAGAAAGGGAAAAAATAAAAGAGGAAAAAAAAGAAAAACGAAGAGGAGAGAAAAAGGGAAAGGAGGAGAGGAGAGGAGAGGAGAGGAGAGGAGA